ATGGCTTCGTTCGAAACGGCCAAGTATAAGTACAGTGGTTCCCCGTCGTCTGGTCGAGACAGAACGGGCGGCTGAGACAGGCTCTGCTTCAGATGGCGAAGTGCGTGCTCGCATTCCTCGTTCCATTCGAAGGCTGCTTCCTTTCGAAGGAGTTTGAAGAAGGGGAGGGCGTGCTGAGCGGACTTCGCGACGAAGCGGGATAGTGACGTTAGCATGCCGTTCATGATTTGTATCGACTTCTTCGACGTCGGTGTTGGGAGGTCGGAGAATGCCCGACATTTGTCGGGGTTGGCTTCAATCCCTCGTTCTGTTAGATAGAATCCAAGGAATTTTCCTGCCTTAACCCCGAACGTGCACTTCTCGGGGTTGAACCTCATTTTGCACTGTCTTGCTTGGGCGAAGACTGTCTTGAGATGAGCTGCGTGATCGGTGTCTGCTCGGGATTTGACGATCATGTCGTCCATATATACCTCGAGCATGTCGCCAATCTGTTTGTTGAAAACTTTGTTCATCATACGTTGGTAAGTTGCTCCGGCGTTTTTCAGTCCGAAGGGCATTACGTTGTAGTAATAGTTGCCCGAGCTGGTCATGAATGCCGTGCAGTGTTTGTCGCCCATAGCCATTGGGATTTGGTTATATCCCGAGTAGGCGTCCATGAACGACAAAGTCTTGTAGCCGACTGAGTTGTCGACCAGCATGTCTATGTTAGGTAAAGGAAAAGCATCATTCGGGCAAGCCCGGTTGAGATCGGTATAGTCAACACACATTCTCCATTTTCCATTATTCTTTTTCACAAGTACAACATTTGACAGCCAGGTGGAATACCGGGCTTCAGAAATAAAATTTGCCTCTAGGAGGTCTTTTACAGCTTTTTCAGCAGCCTCCGTTTTTTCTAGAGACTGCCTACGCCTACGTTGTACTACGGCCTTGGCGGCTGGATCAATGGCGAGGTGGTGACAGGCGACCTCAGGGTCGAGTCCGGGCATCTCCGCGGCGCTCCAAGCGAAGAGATCAGCATTCTCGCGCAGGCAGGCCTTGATTTGCTTCCTGGCCAAGTCGGGGAGGTCTTTACCAATCTTCACTGCCTTGGTCGGGTCTGTGCCGAGGGGAACGAGTTCAAAATCCCCGTCCGGGATTGGTCGGAGTGGGATTTGCTCGTTGCTAGATGGCTCGTCCTGATCGAAGCGGGCGTCGAGGGCTATGGAGTCGACCTTTGGTGGAGCCTTCTGGACTTCTTCCTCGGGGGATGCTTTTCTGTCGGGCTCCTCCTTTGTCCTCTTGGTGGGTCTGGTCCCTACGTCGACGGTATCCCGTCCCTTTGAAGCAGCGTTGAAGTACCTGCGGGCAGCGACGAGGTCTCCTTGGATGGTGGCTACCCGTGCCCTTTTGGTATAGAACTTCATTTTCAGATGGACAGTCGAGGGCACCGCTGTCAGCTCCGCCAGTGTCGGTCTCCCCAAGATGCAATTGTATAGAGACAGGAAATCAATGACGAGGAAGCGGACCTTAACCTGTCGCGTAGCCGTTCCTTCGCCGAACGTAACCAGGAGCTCGACATAACCCCAAGGTTTGGAAGTCGAGCCGTTGAAGCCTTGTAGATCCGAACCCACATACGGAGAGAGATGTGAGTCGTCCAGTTGCAAGGTCCGGAACAACTGGCTGTACATCACGTCGACGGAACTCCCTTCGTCGACCAGGATGCGATGCACGTCAAAATTGGCCATTTTTGCCCTTATCAGTAAGGGGATGACCGCGTTCGGGGCTCCGCCGGGGAGTTCTTCTAGGTAGAAGGTGATGGGCTCTGACCTGCCCTTCACCCTTTCGAACGTTACCGTTTGTGGAGGAGCTATGTCGACCAGCTCGTCCAACTTCCTCTTAGCTGAATTGATGGTGAGGTCGTTGAACCCGCCCCCGTTGATGACCATGGCGGAGGGGAAGTATTCCCACCTGCTGTGTGTTGTCAGGGGCTCCTGCAGGAGCTCGGGAATGTCGAAATCCTCGGGCCTGGTTACCGAGAAGGCGGTCTGGATAGGCACCGACTCGTCTGATGGTCGGGCGTCTTCTTCGGGCTCCTTGGTTTCTTGGGCGTCACGACAGGGAGCGTCGTTTCGCCTGTACTGTGCGAGCCTCCCTCCCTTGATGAGGGTTTCAATGGCGTCCTTGAGGTGGACGCAGTCCTCTGTCAAATGACCATGACTCCTATGGTATTGACAGTATTTATTTTTATCTGCCCCTGGCTTGGCGGGAGCAGGTCGGGGACGCTTGACGCCACCGCCTCTGAAATCTGTACTGGCACACTCCGCCAAAATACGCTCGCGGGAAGCTGTGAGCGGAGTGTACTCGGTGAAACGGCCTGAGGGGCCCCTTTGTTCCCGGGCTTCCCGGGGTCGATCTTCTTTCCTTTTCTCCCCGGTCCGTCGGGGGGGAGCCTCTTGTCGTGAGCTGCTGCTGTTGTTGGGACCGCGAGCCCTGGAGTCTCGGGCCCTGTTGGCAGCTTCCCTCTCCTCGTAGTCCATGTATGCTCGGGCCTTGTCGAGGAGGGCATCAAAAGTTGGAGGTGGCTCAATACCCACAGCCTTTCTGAATTCTGTGCCGGGGAGGAGACCCCTCTCCAGCAAGTATCTTTTCATATGGTCCGCGCAGGGGACCTGTATTGCTTCTCGGTTGAAGCGGTTGATGAATTCCCTCAAGGTTTCATCTTGTCTTTGGATGATGGCCTCAAGGGCCGCCTCGGTCTTCGGATGGCGCCGAGAAGCGGTGAAGGAACTGATGAACTGGTTTTTCAGGTTCCGCCACGACGTGATTGAGCCCGGGGCGAGTCCTTTATACCAGTCCATGGCCGCCTTCCTGAGAGTCGTGGGGAAAAGACGGCACTTGATGGGCCCCCCGACATTATGATAGTGGAGCATGGCTTCGAACCCGTCAATGTGGTCGACCGGGTCCGCTACTCCGTCATACTCCTTCAGATGCGGGGGCTTCTCCATGCCCGGGGGGATGGGTGCATCCATGATGGCCTGCGACAGGGGACCGCGGGGGTCGTCCTCGTCGCTCCTCTCCGGAGAAAGAGAAGGGGACCTGTAGTTATGTCTGGCACGATGATCGTGCTGAGTTTCCCTCGAGCGTGATGCTCGGTGGTTGAAGGTCACACGCCCGTCCCCGGCGTGCCTCTTGTCGTGCCTTGACGGGTCGCGACTGGGTTCTCCGGTAGGGATGGCGGGCTGTCTCTCATAGTAGGGTCGCCTCTGCTTTGGCCGGGGGGAGGGGCTCCTAGAGTTCTCCCTGTAGTGTCTCCGCGGGGGAGAAGGGTGTCGAACTTCTGTGACCCGAGGAGGTGGAGAATGTGGCCTCCGATGCCTCCTCGGGGGTCGTCGATCATCTTCAAGTGCCCTTAATCTTTCTCCTTGGGCGAAGATGAGATAGTTTGTCTGATTAATGGCCGCGAACAGTGCCTGAGTCGTGGCATCTGCCCCGGCGGGAACTGGGACTTCATGGAACCGGGCAGCTCTGTAATGAGCGAGAGCTACCGGGTCGTCTTCGAGTGCTGGAGGGGTCGAAGAGGATGATGCAGTAGCCCCGTCCCTGTAGGAGGAAGTTCCAGGGGCGGTTGTCGCAGGAATGGTACTGTGGCCGGGATCACCGGGGTTGTCGAGGTGTCCATTCTTGTCCGCGGTGCCGTTATTAGTGTCGACGATACGGACGTGCTGCTCGTCACGAGCTGGATCAGCCATGATAGGTAGTTGAATTGAGCTTTGGTCTTTAGAGTTGTTCGTTAGACGGGGAAGCTATTTCCCACAGACGGCGCCACTGATCTGACCTGATCAGAAATGGACCGTCACGGCTGGCTCCGAGCAGAAAACTTTTTGAACGAGGTGGGGGGGGGGGGGGGTACCTGCAAGGCACTCCGATGCTGAAGTAAGTAGGAGTACGAGCAGATAATAGCAAGTGTAAGGTTATAATGATGAATACCTGACCCTCTGGAAGCAGAGGGTATTTATAACCCCCAGCGCTGGGCCAAGGTTCCTTCATTGGGCCGGGCAGGTTTGGCCCAATGGAGGAACTGCCAGGTTCTACGTGCGTAGTGGGGACCCGCACGTGGTCCCCTTCCTGGATGTTCTGCGTGAAGTGCGGGCGGACAGAGACGCGGTCTTTTCGGAGTATCGTTGGGGGAACAGTGGACTGAGTCTGCCCTAGCTGGGGTGCTCGAGGTAACGTCGAGCTGGGCCTCAGAATGTGGTGCTGGACCACAGCATGTCGAGCTGGAGGTGTACTGTCGAGCCGGCGACTATGCGTCGGGCACGGTCGTACTCTTTGGTCGGCGTGGCCCTTGTAAGTCCATTTGGACTGGACCTTTGCAACGCTTTTGGGCCTGTCGGGCCCAGTCCAGAACAGTTTCTATTAAACTACGTCCAAACATATTCAATAATAATCAATTTTTTAATTGATTTGAATTTTTATTTAAATCAGTTTGAATTTAAACACTCTCTAATTTTAAAGAATAAAATTTTTCCTTTATTTTATTTTGATGAATCGATTTTTTTTTCCTTTGTTTTATTTTGTTTTGATTACACTACATACATGTCTCTAATTTTTTTTTTTAATTTCAAATTAAAAATTGTAATTAAATCCTTGGTTTAATATACATTCTGTAATTTGGTCTTTAAATTATATTGTATTTTACTCTAAACAAAAATTAATTTTCGTGGCGTAGCATTCAACAAAACAACAACAATCACCGCGTCGAAATGTGAGATTCAAACAATTATTCACACATAATCAATCAATTCCACATTTATTCATGATTAAGCTTCAAGAATCACATAAATTTCAAAAATCACATTAATCTCAATTCACATAATCATTTATTTTCAAAATCAAGATCCAAATTGTGTTAAACTATACCAATTCAAATTAATTCAATTAAACTCATACAAGATTCACATAATAACTCTCAATTGAATTCAAAAATTAAAATCAATACAAAATCAAGAGAACAAGAAAATTTACTGAAAGAGAATCAGAGGAATTGGATTGAACAAGAAGAAGGAGGTCCGGCGAAGGAGCTTCACGGCGGAGGGAGTATGTTCGCACGGTGGTCGGACGAGCGAGAGGGGGCGGAGGGGATCGGCCAAAACGGAGGTGCCGAGCGGAGTGGTTCCGGGCGAGTGGAGCTGGGGAGAAAGGGTGTTGGTCGGCCAGAGGAGGCTTGGCCGGCAGGAAGCAAGGCGACGGCGGATCTGGTAGGGGAGGGGTTCCGGCGGAGCTTCTTGGAGGAGGAGAGAATAGTTCTTGAGCTTTTGTGACTTTTCTTGTTTGAGAGCTGAGAGAGAAGAGAATTTGGAATGAGTTTTTATGTAGAATGTGAAAAATGAATTTAAATTTTGAAAATATATAGGAGAGACTCCAAAGCTGAATTTTCGGTTTATTTTATGTATAGGTCGATATCAAGTTATAAACTCGTGACATTCAGTGCATAATTTTGATGTGAAACCTGAAACAAAATCGTCGGCGACGAAATTTATGACGCCGTACCGAAAGAATCGTCTCGATACGATAAAAATTGAGCGAGTTACGATGTTCTGAATGGCGAGAACTAAAATTCACTGTGCAGATTTTTCCAACTTATTTTGTATACTATTCGAAAACAAATCACAAGCTCATGACTTTCAGTGCGGAATCTTGACGCGCAACCTATAATAAAATTGTCGTCGACGAAAATTGTGATGTCATGCCGAAAGAATCGTCCCGATATGATAAAAATTGAGAGAGTTATGATTTTTCCAATGGCGAGAAACACTGAACTTATTTTGCTGCATTGAAAATTCCAGCTTATTTTTATGTGCACTTTAGGAAGCAAGTCATAAACCGAAGCCTTCAGAACATAATCCGATCTCGGGACCTGAAGCAAAGTTATAGTTAACAAAATTTGTGATTTCACGCTTTAAGAATCGCCCAAAACTGATAAAAACTGAGAAAGTTATGAATTTCGCAACGGCGAGAAACAGTCTGGTAGAAAACCACTTCGTAATGCAATTTTCTTAGGTAATTCACACTTTCAGAAATCTTCTGCAATGAACTGGCTTCTGATCCAAACATATGAATTGAAGATAAAATAAAAACGAAATTTATGCCCAAAGAACCATCCAAAAACATCGAACCAGGCGAAAGTTGTGAATTTTTGAACATCCGAAAAATAGCGGTTCAAAACACTAATCTCACCGTATTTTCAATGTTTGTCTTCAGAAGGTTCGTACATTCGGAGATCTTCCTCATCGAATCGGCTTCCGAGCCGAATACAAAAATTGAAGGAGGCAACAAGACAGTACAAATTCTCCAAGATCCATTCAATAATGATCTTCCGATCAGAAGTTACAAATTTTTAAGCATCCGAAAACCACCGAACCTGCAAATCCACTGTATAAAATGATTTCAGTTATCTGCGCTTTTGAAAATCTTTCTCAAAGAATTGGTTCCTGACCCAAACATACGGAATGTAAAGGGATTCAAGAAGGATTTAATGCTCAAAGGACCACTCAAATATAATTTTCCGGTCACAAGTTACGAATTTTTGATCATCCGCGAAACAATGAAACAGCAAATCCAAACTTCAACATATTTCCATATTCAGAGATCCTCCTCAAAGAATTGGTTCTAGATCCGAAAATATAAACTTTAGAAAATTCCAAGACGAATCTTACGCCTGAAAAATAACTCCCAAAAAACTTCTCCGAATGGAAGTTATGAATTTCTGAAGTCACGCTGTGAAATACTTCTTTTCTGCTCAAATTGTTCTGAATCAACTGAAACACTTGATTTTTCCTGCGATTCAAGGCATGCTGGAACACATGATAACTTGTCATGATGAGGACTTGAGTGTCCACTGAATACATAGCTTGGAGAACACTCTGAGCGTGTTGACTGATGAAATAAATGTCTTATGTAACCTGACGAAGCTTAACAGAAATACCTTGATCTCATAACCATAGAACCAATGATATATATGTATGCATATGATGATGAAATATAAGCCAAATGAGATTAAAATGGAGAGGATAAATTTGGGGGTATAACAACTTCCTCTATTCAATCTTCTAAAACCTAAAGCAAGATTGGCGTCAGCCTTTCGAGCGATGAGGTAGAAGAGGATTGAATACAAAATTAAACCCAAAAAGGACAGGGCCTGTATTAAGACAAGGTGTATCAACACTGGTGACTGTATTTTTGTAGCTTTATGGTATTCGAACCAAAAGGACAGGGCCTGCAAGCATGAAGGCCCTGATAAGCAAGAACAATAAACATCAGACTCAAACCAAGATACTAGCATCTGCTAGACTCTAAAGATGCAGCGTCAGGAAAGAACTAGACTACCCACGCTGTAAACATTGCGCCAGGGAAGAATTGGACCAATAATAAGGTAAAAGTTATGACCAACTCTAAAAGATGTTGTGCCAAGAAAGAACTGGACCACCAGTAAGGTAAACATTGAATACCTTACATGCAGAATACCATAACACTGTATTATGAAAAAGGTAACAAGTAAGTGAAACTTAACCTTGGTAGAAACTAGTGGCCACCAGACCTAGAAATGTCGCGCCAGTAAAGAACTGGACCCCTAACAAGGTAACAAGACCTAGATATGTTGCGCTAGGAAAGAACTAGACCACCAACAGGATAACGAAACCCAAAGATGTCACGATAGGAAAGAAATAGACCACCGACAAGGTAACGAAACCCAAAAAGGTCGCGCTAGGAAAGAACTAGACCACCGACAAGGTAATGGAATCCAAAGATGACGCGCTAGGGAAGAAATAGACTGCTGACAAGGTAACAAACCCAAAGATGTCACACTAGGAAAGAACTAGACCACCGACAGGGTAACAAAACCTAAAGATTTCGCACCAAGAAAGAACTGGACTACCGATAAGATAACGAGAAACCGACTCTAAAGATGTTGCGTCAGGAAAGAACTGGACCACCAACAAGGCAAAGAGTAGACAACTATACCAAAGAAACGAGTAACCTCTAGCTTCTAGATGTGGAGATGCCATTGGATACTAATTGCGGGAGGAACGTGATCGGTAAGTTAGCAAGTGCAGTAATTCGCCAATGTAGTAATAATGGGAAATCCCAAAATTAACGATCTCAAGGACTGTGTATTAGTATCAAGTTCAATTTGTGGTTCAGTTAAACAAAAAAATTAATTGGGTTTTCGGTTTGTAAATTGTAACTTAACAATAAGCAGAAAATATAAATTGGATTTTCACTAATATGAGGAGCATGCTAGAGGTAAGTGTGTGATTTGTCCCTGTAATAACCTTTACTCTTGATTTCTTCAACAAGTTTATTACCTTTAACTACCGAATCGTTAGTTTATTTTCCCCTAAGTCCTTAGTGGGAAAATCTTTGGTCATTCATCCTAATACCTAAGTCCTTAGAGAAATATGATGAAACCAAGCATTCATTTTATCAAGATTATACCGTAACCTATAGGGTATCCATAGCCTTAGGTGATATTTACTATAGTGTAATCGTTCAAAAACCTTAATTGTTAACAATGGCAGTCCAGCCCTAATTGTTAACCGTGAATCAATCCCTACTGGTCTGATAGGAAAAGCATAAAACATTGAACAATTAAGTTGAAAAGAAACTATTGTATCAAAATCAAGAATTAAAAATCATTACATTTTCAAATCAGGGATAACCCCTAGCATTGGGGGGTTTAGCCTCTCATAGTATTAAAAAGAAAAGGCAATATTAAAATTAGACATTACAAGAGGTATGGATTCTTCGATCTTCAATTGCTATTGCTCATGAAGGAATCTCTGTCTCCAAATCTCTTGAATGCACCAATATTTATCGTTCCTAATCTTCTCCAGTCAAAAGTCCTCCAATTCATCGTGGAAACTCCTCTTAATAGAAAAAACTCATTTAGGTCGGTTGGAAGTACCTAAAACGCCCTCACGGCTTAACAAATGGGAGAAATAACCCGAAATACTAAAATCAGTGTCACAACCCAACACGGGCCGTGTCAGGAAACACGGGTGCCCGTGTTGGACCTATGGCCATTTAACTCTTGAATTCTAGGTTCATGCACCTTAACACGGGTCGTGTCAGCTAACACAGGCGCCCGTGTCACACCCCTGACTTCCCCAATTCATGGCTCTCGTCCTGGCTATCATCCTGACACGGTACGTGTTAGGTTACACGGTTGGCTTTGTCAGGCCTCTTATAGGTGGATATTTGTATTTCTTCCGAAACTCTGAGTTTTGCACTGATTTGTCCTAATTTATTCTTTTGAACCTAAAACAAAAACACAAAAACAATGCATAAAAAGTGGTAAAATGAAATAAAACACGCGACGATAAAAAGAAAGGATAACATAAAATAATGGTGAATAATTGTGTAACAAGCACTAATCAAACTCCCCCAAACTTAAACGATTGCTTGACCTCAAGGACCATTACAAGAACTCATGAAAATCACAGCAAACTGGTACTCATATGTGAGACATCTGTTCAAATTGACCAAAAGGTAGTTCGTCCGATGTTCACATAACGCGAAGAGTTTTTGTAAAAACCTTTAAATCTCAAGCTTCCGCTTCAGATACCTCTCCAACCATGCTTTGTACTTAAGTCTTTTTCTGATTTCCTCCTTTTTCATTCGGACAGTCAAATTAAGGCAATGAGAACTATTGATGATCATCACACGCATAAGAATAATTAAGAAAATTTTTGTCCAGGCACCAAATAAGCAGCTTTTGCTCGTTTTTAAATTCAGATGAAATTTTCAAAACTTTTCAGTTTATATATTGTCCTTTTTAGACGACGTTTGGGGATCAACCCCTTTTGGGCTAAATAATCGGGTGAGGGCTACCCAACTTAGTGAGTCGGTTTCCTTTTACTGCCTTTTCATCATTTGATACCAGCTTTATTTATTTCTCAACCAATTAGACCTGCACATGAATCTATGTTATACCATATTGTAACGATAAACTACTCAATGAGTACTTCTCAGGATTCAAGCATTATGGTACAAATCTACATGTTAGACTCGTATCACTGTCACGTTATTCCAAACTTCCTACCCTTGAACAACCATCCCTTTATCTCTATAAATTATTCCCAATCTCTATTAAATACAAGCTCTTGAGCAAAATAAAACAAAAAAAAATCTGTCCAAATTTAGGAAGGACTTCAACTCGTGGATTTACACAACAATTAGCATATAACGAACAAATAACTCGTAAAGAAAATCAGTAATCTCCCCCCCCCCCCCCCCCAAACTTGAACTAAACATTGATCCTAATGTTTCAGAACAAGCTCGAGAAGGTGACTCACAGAGAGTAATGCAACACCAGCTGCTACCTCCTAGCTTTCACCAGTAAGGCTCCCTTTTTATTACTTACAGACAAAACGAAACAAACACAAAAATAAAAACT